AAAAAAAAAAAAAGAAAAATTAAGTGCATCATCTTCAGTAGTGGCCAAGTACACTTGCAAAATTGTGTCACTTTAATTATGAAAGTGGTCTCTTAAAAATAAAAAAATAAATAAAGCATGTCCTTGCTCCCAGATGGAATAAACTCATTTAGAGTTACATCAGAATCACTTCACAAGATCTGATATTTGAAGTGCATTAGGTCGGGTTGGCTGATTTCCCCATAATTACATTAAATGTTCACCATCTACAGAATTTCATTCCAAACCTAAACAGTCCACGGCACTTAGTGAGCAGACTCCAATGCTCAGGCCCAGGACCGGCTGCCAGCTTCAATGCTTCGCTAGGTCATCCTTAGATGTCTACGGAAGACGTTCAGAGCGAGCCATCGTTACCGTGGTAACAAGTGCAGGAGAGAAAAGGGTGGCTGTCATACATAAGACAAGGATTATGGACAGGAAGCACTGACAAGCCCCTAAGGAAACAACACGAGGTTTCCTCAGTTAAGAATGACCATTCAATATTCACATGCTAACAACTGAGTGTCACAACATCCAAGAAGGACATATACAAAGCCCATTAGTTCTGGTTGCCAACCAAGAAGAAAATGTAGCAATCGCTGTCTCCCACTATTTTATAATTACGTGTGTGTCTGCACATATACATATATGAACCAGGACAGAAACCCATTGAAATACGCAAAACAGGCAACATGGAGCTCGGTGATGCACATACTCAATGAAGGGTCCTACTCAGTCTGTGCTTTCACTTTGAGATGATTTTCAAGAAAATTCTGCAACAACAAAACCAAAAATAAACAGCATGATCACATCAAACTAAAAAGCTTCTGCCTAGCAAAGGAAAGAATAGAGTGAAAATTCACCCTATGGAATGAGAGAAAATATTTGTAAACCATATATCCAATAAGGGGTTAATCTCCAAAATATATAAGAACTCCTACAACTCAATAGCAAAAAACCACTAATAATCTAATTAAAAAATGGGCTAAGGACTTAAATAGACATTTCTCCAAAGAAGATCTACAAATGGCAACAGGTATAGAAAAAATGCTCAAAGTCATTAAATATTAGGGAAATGCAAATAAAAACCCCAATGAGATACCACCTCGCACCTGTTAGGATGGCTGTTACTAAAGAAACAACAAACAAGTTGCACACTGTTACTGGGAATGCAAAATGGTGTAGCCACCATGAAAAACATGAAAGTTCCTGAAAAAGTTAAAAATAAAACCACCATGTGATTCTGCAATTCAACTTCTGGGTATTCATCCAAGAACTGAAATCAGAATCTCAAAGTGATATTAGCACTCTCATGTTCATTGTGGCAAGATTCACAATAGCCAACATGCAGAAACAACCTAATGTTTATTAACAGATGGATGGATAAAGAAAATTTGTTATATACATATGAAGGGCTAGAATTTTGTTCAATCTTAAAAAGAAGGAAATTCTGCAATACGCAATGACATGGAGGAACCTTGAGGACATTATACTCAATGAAATAAGTCAGTCACAGAAAGACAGGCACTGCATTATATGACTGGTTGCCAGGGCTAGGGAGAAAGGAAAATGGGTAACAGGCATAAAGTTTCAGTGCAGCAAGATAAGTTCTAGAAATCTGGTATACTTATAGTCAACAATACTGTATTGTACACTTAGAAATTTGTTAAGTTGTATATAAAATAATAATTTAAAAAAATTCTACAGAGACTAAATATGAATTTCTAATGATCTTACCACTAGATTCAAAACTAAAATGGGCTTATGGATGTTGCTTTGTTAATTTGGTGATGATTGGGACTTTCAAAGATGTTTTATCTATGTTTCCTGTTAGGAAATCTAGGAAGGATCATGATTTTAAGCTCCTTGTTAATTCTGTGAGTAATTAGTTGTCAAAAATGAAAATATTCACGGATGACCAGAATACAGAATACAGAAAACCCAGTGAAAAACTAAAAGAGAAAATAAATGACAGCAGAGTTCTGTAGGAGTTCTATGCCAGTGCTACCTTATCTGATTTTCCTCATCATTCACCAAGAAGAACAGCGGAACTTCACAACCAAGGGGCTGCAGTTGGTGATGGTAACGTAGCGAATGACCTCAGTATCGTTCAGGATGCAGCCAAAATCCAGCTCCATTGTCTCAAAGCTGAGGTTGGGGTAATGCACTTCTCCGCGCAGGGCCAGGCTGTCTATCTGAGGGTGTTCCACATACTTGATTTCGAGAATTTCTTCTGCCACCCAGTTGTTCAGATCGTTTCTGTAGGAGGGGTCAAACTTGATCAGCAGGTTTTTTTCTTCATCAATTTCAAGTTTAATAGGCTACAAACAAGATAATAGGGAAGTTACCAACTTTTGTACTATGCATTTCCACCCTGCTACATGAAACAGGACAGTCAGACATAAACATTATATTTATTTATGGACACACACAGATACACATGTATTTATGCACACACACATATTAGTATGAAAAACATACACATACACATTCATATGTAAACAGCTACTGCATCTAAGTATAGATACTTACGTATGTGCATACACATTTTATTAGTTGAAAATGAAAGCAAGGAAAATATGGAATTATTTAAAGGAAGAGATTTTGATAAGTGTGTGAGGTTATAGGAATTGAGGAGTTGTAAAGGAAAAGTCAACAATGAAAAACTATTATAAAATATTCTTAACTAAAAATAAATTTGGTTGTGAAATGCCCTTAGGCAAGTGGAAGAAATTCTTTGCTTCAGAAATTTTTAAAAGGGTTTTCTAAAGCACTGGGGGGTAGGGGGACTCTGTAGAAAGTGACCCAGAAAGGGACAGATTAGGTAATTTAATTTCTTTTCTAATGTCAGCAATCCTAACTTTTAAGCACACTGTCAACCACTTTCTGCTGTTTTCTATTCAACTTAAAATGACAGTGCAGAGCTTGTTCAGTATATTTTATTTGTTCTTTTCTGTCTTTGATTCCAATCCCTATGTGTTCCTGGATGCCAGTGTCTGCAGTAACACCTTCTATTAGAAAGGCTGGCTATGAGTTGGCTTTTTTAGGCATTGCTCAATTCCCACATTTAATGGGCATGAAAGCCACCTCATGGTTTTGCAGCAAGTGCCCTGAGGCAGACGGGAAGAATGAACACAGGAATGAATCTCTTTTCAGTGCACCTCATCTTTCCACTGCGCTTAAATGGTTCCAGTATTTAACTGTGCATTTAATGACATGACTAGATCGTTTTGGATGATAAAGCCACTCACCTAATTCAAAAGAGAGAGAGAGTAATGACTCTTCTGTTGGCCTACTCCCAGTTAAAAGCCAGATCAGCCACCTGGCCTTTGATTTTACCACTGGCACAAGGGGCTGGGCATAAGTTAGTATCGACCCTTGTAGATCATGGCATCTTGTCACACTTGGTGTTTAAATATTTTGAAGATTGACTTAATTTTTTTTTTTCAGAGAAATGACTTTATTGTTTTGTAGAAATGATACAACAATTTATATTATATATAAATGCACAAAGAAGAAATGAGAAATTTATCCTAAATTTCACAATACACAATTCTCAGAGTTAATCATTTGGTAGATGTTATCCCAGACGCGATGGAGGAATACTAAGATTTTACAAAAATGGAATTGGATGACAGTATTTTCTAAAAAATATCATTTTTGAGTCCCCCCCCCAAAAAAAACCTGAAGAAATGTTTCACATACAAGGGATATTAATTCCTAAGATTAAAGGCTCTGGAGCCAGACTAGTTAGATCCAAATCCTGGTTTTGCCACTTAGCTGTGAGACCTTGGGCAAAATACTGGGCCTCAGTTTTTCCATCTGTAAAACAGGGGTAATAATAATACTTACCTCTGTTTATGAGGATCTAATTAATTAATGTATATGTGAGGTGTTTTGGGGCAGTGCCCTGCACATAGTGCAAGGTATTTAAATGGTCGCTATTACTATTATCCCTTTACAATAAAGAAAAGAGATGGCTAAATTTTAAGCAATTTCAACTTTAGACAATCTCTTATTGACACCTGGCTGTAAAAGGGCATGAAATCAGTACACCTATGCTTCTTTCACTTCCCATTTTTTATTAGCTATAGTGAATTTTAAAAAGGTGAGGTTTAAAACATTCTGCTCTGAAATCCAGCTGTCAAAGTTGAGTCATCTCTGTTCCATAGTTAAATCGATCCTATCCATCTTTTAGTCATAGGTTTTTTTCATTCCTGAGCACCTTTTTTGATCTATCTCCCAGAGTGTGGCTCATGGTAAATCTCCTTAAGTCTCAGCCTCCGTCTTCTGAGGCCTCATGATTGCTGCCTGCCCCTTCTCCTTCATACCCCATCTTCATTAGCTGTTTCCCTAGAGAGGGAGGCTGAGCAGGCTGGATGTGGTGGCTCATGCCTGTAATCCCAGCACTTTGGGAGGCCGAGGCGGGCAGATCATGAGGTCAGGAGTTCAAGACCAGCCTGGCCAATATGGTGAAACCCTGTCTCTACTAATAATACAAAAATTAGCCAGGTGTGGTGGCGTGCACCTGTAATCCCAGCTACTCAGGAGGCTGAGGCAGGAGAACAGCTTGAACTTGGAAGGCGGAGGTTGCAGTGAGCTGAGATTGTGCCACT